TAGTGATGTCACTTGATGGTTTCCTCAGGGTATGGCCAATCCATCTCCATTTCCTTCTGCATATTTGTTTCACAATCGGTTCCTGGTCGGTTCGCTCCCAGAGGTCCCTATTGCTGATCATTTCTGGCCATCTGATCTTGAGTAGTATTGAGCGAAGACAGCTGTTGATGAAGGCCTGCAGTTTGTTTGAAGTGCTCTTTGTGACACCGTACCAAATCTCTGATCCATAAATTAGCACTGACTCCACATTGGAGTTGAAAATCCAGATCTTATTTTCCTTTCCATGCTGATTGCTCTTGATCTCCACACAGACTTGAGAGTAATGAAAGCTTGTCTTGCTTTCCCGATTCTCACTTCGATATCCTCATCAGTTCTGTCTGTAGTTGAAACGATGCTTCCCAGGTGGATAAAGGAGGAAGTTTCTTTCAGGTTCCTCCCATTTATGCTTCTTGTTGTCTGTTGTTGTTGCTGCTGTTGGTGTTGGCCAGGAATCTTCATCACCTCTGTCTTCTCTATGTTCACCTGAAGTCCTATCTTTGCTTCTTCTTCTGCCAACTTGTTGCTTTTCACTTGCTTATCTCCCAGTTTGTGGGAAATCAAACACATATCATTGGAGAAGTCCAGATCCTCGAAGTTTTTTGTGTGAGTCCACTTTATGCCTGTTTCCTCATTGCCCGCTGTTTGTCACATTATCCAATCTACTGCAATCAGGAAAATCAGTCTAAAACCATACTCTCAGACCCCCAACACCCCCTCTATTCCCAACTCTCTCCTTGTATCTCATCAAGTAAAACCAGAAATCAGTATAAAAGAATCTATGCTCGTACAACCAAGTACAGGAACTCAACGATACCATACTTGGCCCGTGTTCTAAGCGACAGAGACAATGTTAGGCGTGAAACCTGTGACTTGCTTTGTTATTAACAACATAATTTCATACTCTTTTATTTCTCTCTTATTTCGTATTCTTTAGTGAACTCCTTCTTCAAACTACTTAGCTACCTGAAATATTAACATTGGCTTCCTTTTTTGTACTTTACTATATTCCTTCTATTGTGTATCACTGGTTCCGACTATATTAGCACTATGAGTATTACAAAATTGTCGTGTCATTAACCATCATGTAATTATTAGTTTTGTGGTTGCTTTTCTTATTTTCTATACTTTTCGGCAATATTAAACTGACAATCATTGTATGTGAATGCCATAGTCACCACCTCAAAAAAAAATTTTGTATTATTCAGGATTACTCACACTACCACCACAAACACTGCATTAGACCTTGGCAGACTTTGGTACTTTTTCGCATTCATAATTATTTTGTGTTTATCCTGTTTTTTCTTTTTTTTGGTTTTTTTTTTTGCTGTTGGTGTCTTCAGATTTACTTTTTTTTTTGTTTGTTTAATACTTATTTTAAACGTCGGTAAAATTAGATGCAAATATTGTAGATATGTGCTGAAAATTCCACACTGTACCACTGTACTGTTTCTGGAATAAAGCAAATTATTATTATTAAAAATCATTGGCGACAGTAGGCAGCCTTGCCTTACTCCCGTCTTCACTTCGACGGATTCCGTAAGTTTCCCGTTGTGGATTACTTGGCATGCAGCATTGTCCTACAGCTGTTGGATGAGATGCATAATTATCGGTGGCACCCTGTAGTAGCGAAGTAGTTGCCAAATCACCTCTCGTTCGACTCTGTCGAAGGCCTTTTCAAAGTCGATGAAGTTGAGATAGAGAGGTGACTGCCATTCCAAACTTTTTTCAATGATGATCTGTAGTGTGGCGATTTGATCGACACATGACTTGTTTCTCCTGAATCCAGCTTGTTCCTATCGAAGTTTTTCATCCAGTGCTTGTTTGATTCTCTCCAGGATGATTCGGCTTAGTATTTTGCTTGGGATGGACAGGAGCATAATTCCACGCCAGTTCTTGCATTGACTTAGGTCTCCTTTCTTTGGTAGTTTGAATAAGTATCCTTTCTTCCAATCCTCGGGTACTTTGCCTTCTTTACACACCTTCTACAGTAATGGCGTCATCAAGTCCGCTGTTGTCTCTGGATCATTTCCAATGCTTCTGCTGGGATTCCATCTGTTCCTGCTGCTTCTCCAGCTTTTAGCATCTTGATTGCCTTCAGGATTTCTGTTCTTTTTGGGGGGTTGATGTTCACTGGTAATTCTGCTTCCGTTGTTGGTATTATTGGGCGCGTTGTAGGTGGCGATCGGTTTAGTAGTCTTTTGAAATGTTCAGCCCAGTGTTTCCTTTGCTCCACTTCTTTGGTGGTTGGCTTTTCATTGTCATACTTCACTGGCTTAATTTGTGTTCATCTCTTCCCCAATGGGAACCTAGTTGTTTGGCAGAGTGTTGCGAGGTCTCCTTTGCCTGCTTCAGAATATTGCTTTTTGTCTTACCTGCCACTTTTCTTTACTCGTTTGTTCAGTGTATTGTAGCTTGCTATCGACTCCTGTTTTTGTTGCTCGTCGATGTACTGGATAATCTCTTGTTCCACCATCCTTCTTTCTTCTATTAGTCACCATGTGTTTGTAGTGAGCTACTGTTTATCTTGTCTCTTCTTTCTGCCTAGACCTTCCATGCAAGTTTGACTTCACACCGCTTTCAGGTTGTACCAGTGCTTTTCAACGCTGGTCTCTTTGCTAGTGTTGATTTGTGTCTCCGCCTTTTTCCTTGTGCTTGCAGTGAATATGTCCTCTTTATGCTGGTCCTTCAGTCTTTGAGTATTGAACTTGGCTTGTGGTCTATCTGCAGCTCCTGCTTCTCTGAAATCTTTTAGTTTGATTTGGATTGTCCCTTGTACGAGATAGTGGTCTGAGTCTACGTCTGGTCCTCTTCTTACTTTTGTGTCCACTAAGCTGCGTCTTCACTTCCTCGGGCAGCATTTAGATGAAATCAATTAGGTTTTTGGTTCATCCGTCAGGTGACACCCATGTGGTCTTGTGGATATTCTTGTGCTTATATACGTTGCCACCAATCACTAGTTCTTCGAAGGCACAGAAGTCAGCGAAGAGTTCTCCGTTTTCACTCATCTCTTCAAGTGCTTCCCGACTCACAATGAGTTCTCTTCTTGTGTTGTCTGATCCCACCTTGGAGATCATGTCTCCCATTAGGATTTTAATGTCAGCGACTGGAGTACTGTCCAATGTTGCCTGTAGTTGTCTGTAGAACTCTCCTTTCTTTTCTATGTCTGCGTTATTTGTGAGTGCCTAGCATTGTATAACTGACATTTTCCTTCCTTTGGAGTTGAATCTGGCGGTCATCATCCTGAGCGAGATCGCCTGCCATTGTGTGAGGGCCTTCGTTGCCGTTGGTGACATCATGATAGCCACACCCTGAGTGTTTTCATTGTTGTCTTCTGGGTGAGTGGAGTAGACCACTGACTCTCCCGTGTACAATTTGGTGAGTCCATTCCTGTCCCATCTGCTCTCACATATTCCCAGTACTTGAATTCTGTATCTTTTCATCTCATTTGCAATCTGGTCAGCTGTTTCAAGCTAGTACATGGTGCGGACGCTACATGTCCCCACACAGACTTTTTCTTTTAGCGCAAGGAGATTCATCCTACTGAAGTTTCTGTAGCAGCTTTGTTTACAGCGTGAGGTTGCTAGCGTCGCGCCTGAGAGGGGGGTTGTTACATTAAAATATAGTTTACAGAGAAGCGACCTTGTCGGTTGCTCCCCTTGAAACCAGGAAAACAAGGAATAAAACAATCAGAACAACACCAGCAAAGGGAAATAATTCACAACAGGAAGGGCAACAAGCGACAACAGCAATAAAAAACGAATTTCATACTAAGTACACTAAAATTTCTTATCAAGATTTTCAGAAAAGTTCATATATATACATATATATATATATATGAGTCTACAGGAAATATAAGTTTGTGTGTGAATTCGTTATTGCCTGCTCACAAGTCAAGTGTTTGTCTTGACTAGAAACGTCAGTCTTATGTACTTTCTATCTTTTTATCATTTCTCTTGATGTTTTACAGACTTTTATGCTTGCTTTTTAGGGGTATCCAATATCACGTGGAAAATGATAATACCTATACATGGACCAAAGTAAATCACTGATTTTAGTCCATATTTCTGTATAGTGGAGAAGTAGATGAATGGTTGTTGATCGAATTACAGGGTGACGTTCTATCTAAGACAGGAGATCCTCTGGCAGGAAGAAATTTGGGTGATCTGCATTTCTCACGACAGGTTAACTTAATGTTCTTCTTTTTCTAACATGTGATTTGTAGAATGGTGATCCGGTTTTCTTGATTGGTCATCATGTGCTTTTTGGTAAATTACATGACCTGGAAAAGCCTTTACTTATCACCAAAAAGTGTACTACCTCTGGGACATTGAGTTATGAAGTCGTTTCTGTTATTCGACGTAAATTACTGTTCAAGACCCGGCCTAAACCAATCATTTCATCAATTCCTAAAAAGATTTAATATGTATTAATGTACATTCCCTATCCTGTAAATATATAAACATATATATTTATTTTGTTAATTCATCTTCGACGTATGTTTTATTGTCTGCTCACGAATAGTATTAGATAGTCAAACATTCAACGTATAAATGGAGAATTATGCCGTAAAAATAAAAAGCGTAGTGAAATTATTGCTAGCTTTATTTTGTAAAACCAGACAAATAGGTGGTGTTCTGTATGCGACTAACACCTACGGAAATTAGATACTGACCGTGGTTATGCATTGCCTAAGGAACAAAGTAAAGCTAGACCTTTATCCATTACCTTGTGACTCAAAGTTTCTGTAGCTGGTGTTGTTTCTTGGTGAAATTTATCTTCTAAAGTTTTCCTTTGTAACAATTTATATTTCATGCATATCATATTTGTGACTCTTAATTCTTCTGTTACGATTCCTAGTGACTTGAGCAGAGTTAAATAAAATTGTCAGTGTTTTGTATATGCAGTGTACTAGTATTACTGGATGGTGATATATAGATTTTGACTTTTTTCATTGATCAAAATTGACGTATTCTCTTTGATAAATATTTATTGGAAAAAGTGTTGGTCTTATTCTCCTCTGGTGCGATTCACTAACTGGGAAATGTTTCTTTATTGGCTAGTTGGAGTGAGATTTTAGTACGCAAATTATTTTGAAAATGACAAGCAAACCACCTGTATATTTCTCTGAGAATGATTCAGTGCTACGAGATTTGCTGACAGTTATTAAGGAATGAGAATTATTGACAATGTATTGATGGAAAGAGGTCAAGATCTAATCTGTAGATAAACTACACGACCTGCCGCATAAACAAAAAGTGAACAGATTACTTGAAGACGAAGTGGCCACTCCAGTAGATTTACTTTTAATATTTTCAGTATTATTTGAGGATGAGGTAAAGTGTATTATGAACTTATAGTGACCGGCTTGTTCTTTGTTATGTAAGCATTCAGTGTTTTACTAAGTAGTTGACTGATTCACACTTTTCTATATTTCCTTTATCAAAATAAAGGAGTTGGACATTGAAAACACAATTACTACACAGAGTGATCTAGTTGCAATTAATTTCCCTGATTAATGAGGTGTCGATTTCTATTTTTACAAATGACTTTAAAAATGAGTCCATGCAGCGTGTACAAAATTACTTGCATTGGTACTGTTGTTTGTAGATGAATTGTTAGGAAATTAGGGACTATGACTATTTAAATCCATGAAGACATGGCTTCTAGTGGAGTGTTGATAGTGACTGAGGCAGTTGTCTTTCTGTGTGTTGTTTTAATCGAAATCTTACGGTAATTACTGATTCACAATCATTTCGTTTGTTAATCACTGTGGATGGATAGGAATGATAACCACATTTCAAGATATCTAGACATTGCTAGTTGCGTAGAAATAAGATTGCATGTCCAGTTCAGGAACAAGATGTAAATTACTAGTTAAAATATGACCCATAGCCAATGAGGTCAAAATTACTTATCGACTTAAGCTATAGGAATATGTACAGCACATACCAAGTTCGCTTACCTCGGTGTTTGTGGCGGCCTAAAAACATATCAAATTATATGTTCACGAAAAAAAGAAGGAATTCAACCTTAAAACCTTGAACCGCGCGCAAGGAACGAATCGTTCGCTCTCTCTCCGGCTGCTCGCCCAGCACATCTGCTGACCAACGCTGTCTCGCACTGGTTAACACATCCCCATCAAGAACTTTGCTCCTATCTGCTTTACTCTACGTGGAGACTTCCGACGGTTGACAGCTCTAAGTTGTAGTGGAGAATTTGTATAATCAAGAGAAGGACAATTACATTCCTATAATTTCGTACGTCTATAATTTGTGTATTTTGTGACTGTTACAGTTTTTCTTCAAATAACCTCAGTCCTTTTTGTGTATATTAACTTAAGTGAACTGAATATCTTATATATACGTATTTGTTAGTACCTGTTCTGTCCTTTTAATTGCGTTTATATACTTACCTAGCTACTAGGTCCACTACATGTTCAATGTAAGAGGTGTGACACGAACCCAATCAAAATATATTAATTAATGTATTATCTGGCTGGTGATATCGGATATCTGCTAATTGTCTCCCTGGAGAAAGGAAGTTGATGATTAGCTAACTTTACTGATATAAGTGAGCAAATTTGAATGCTAAACTACTTTGTCCCCCACCACTTCTCATGTCACCTGTAACTTCTACACTTTAATATGAGGCTCAATAACCTGTAATTGCATGCCAGTAATAAGTACTACGTTGTTTATGTCTTTCTTTTGCAAAGCGTTACAGCCTAAACCATGTTCATTGGAGAATATATAAACTAAATGTTATCTGAAGTTGGTAGACAGTTGTAGGGTGTACTTCGCGGGTGAACTTAGTTTTAGTGTTAACTAATTAGCATATTTGCTTCATTGTTATAGACACTCAAATTTCAACCAGTTGATTTCAAGTATGAAAACTTTCAAGAGCCTGCATTACCTCCAATTGCTTTTAGATGAAGAAGAAAGGAGGAAAGCACAGTATCTTCGATACGAATCCATCACCAATGGAACATGGTTATATCGCGTAGAAACTGAGGGCACCATACCGTAAATTTTAACACTGAAACTCTCTGTAAAGCAGTGTCGAAGGAAATCTGCATAGACGTTTTAGTCAGGAAGAAGACGCAGTACAAGGAATGACTCACTGCAGACATAGTGAAGCGAATTGAAGATGGAAGAGTATTAAAGCAGTAGATAAGATAGTACAGAGATGAAGAGGGAAGCTGAACGTCATCTACAACGTACTGAACGAAGGAGCAGTGAAGAGAGCTAGAAAACACAGGAGAAGTTTTATGAGGCATTGGAGACTGAAGCAAAACAGTCCGCAGGCAAAACGACAACATATCAGCATCAAATAACTGGATCGCTACCTGAGAGGAGAGCAACGTAGATGAAGGCTGTGAAAAGAAGCGGAGGAGACTTATTTACGAAAGAAATGAAACTAGTCAATGGCCAGGTCGTTCACTTCGAAGAACTTTTGAATCGTACGACACCTGTAACTCATCCAGGAATACCAGCAGCAGACAAGATACTACCAGTGAACACACAGCCTCTGACGAAATAATCAAGGCCATAAGATTACTCAGAGCCCAGAAAGTAGCAGGATCAGGTGCAGTCACTCAGGAACACAGGGCACAGACACAGTGGATATGTTCATGCCATTGATGTAGAAGGTGTAGAAGGAAGGAAACGTCGCTGTAATAGGCCACATTATCCTGGGAAAATAATAGAAGCATCGGATGGAGGACGTGGACAAGCAGAGGATGGATTCTGTAAACAAATGTCATGCATTGGCTGAATTACAGGATTATGTGTCAGCAAATATACAAGAGGAAGTAGAGATGGGTTGGACCTAATCTGAAGCGGCATTCAAGTAATGTCACATGTCAGGTCGTCGATTGGGAGGAGACAGGTTGGACGTGGGGGATGACATGGGAGAGATCAGGTGAAGAGAATGTGGAGGCATCTGGATCGTCGTGGAGTCGGTTGGAAGTGACGACAGAGAACCGAGTGCAGTGGTGATATGCCGGTAAGGCTTTGTGACCCAATAGGGAAACCAGGAATGAATAATGGTAGGTGTAGTCCACATTTGTGAATCTCGCTCACTATGTGTGTCATGCCGCTTCACTTGATCACAAGTGGAGAACCCTAACGTAATTTATTTGAACCTAACAAAAGATTGGATCACATCAATACCTGAGGAGGTGGTAGCCGCCACACAGTATACATTATTTACTTTGCTCATTTAACTCTGACTTCTCCTGGAGTCAATCGACTTTTGTAAGCGTTTCACATCTAGCCGTTTACAGTTCACAGGGCCCCTAACTGACGGTTTAGGAGAAAAGCCGAAAAACCACTAGCAGTCAGAATAGACAGTTGATACTGTTGTAAAATCAAAAATGAGCCGACCGATGATACATCGAAGAAAGATATACCCCTTGCACTAGTGCTGTGTGCATCTAATAATGCCATAGGAGCAGCCGTAACTCAGCTGGTCGACAGTTGTTGGGAATCAGCCGTATCCTATTTTAAACGTCTTAATTCTAAAATACCCGAGCTTTCCTACGTTTAGCATAATAAATGTAGCAGTTTAGTAGCACGCTAGAAGGCAGACAATTCACGATCTACGCATGTCATAAACCTGTCAAATGCGAGCTCAACGAGAGAATGTACAAACACTCACCACATGAGATTCGTTGCTTTTTTCTACAGCTGTCTACCAGTAATGTATACATGATTAGACACACGAAAGTATAAACAGTAGACTTTTAATCAAATTTATTATCAAAAGTAAATTAGGTTGTGTTTGGAAATAATTTTGCGCTTTGTTGAAATTATTAGAAATTTTGCGATATCTTTATAAAGATTAATTAGTCACCACAAAGCCTCCAAAGGCCAGTTGAATCGTTTCAAAAGAGAACCCTGAGGTCTTCTAGTCACATTGTATTTGTCCAACCGATATTGAGGTAAACCTGATCGCCACCCAATCATTTTACTAGTTGTTATTGGAATCGGTGTTGGTGACGGTTCAATTTTAATATAATCAGATATAGGTACTGCCTCAGTGATCTTTAGGTGTTCAGGAATCTCTATGCGTTTCCTCTGAGAATCAATCAGGTCATGCATTTCATCTTTCAAGATTTCTTCTGGAGTCAGTGTCAGGAAACTCCAATTTTTCGACCAAGCTCTGGATCCCCTTGCTTCCTTAATACAGTTGTCACGCCTCACAAATACAAGAATTTGAATAAACCTACCATATTTTATCTTGTGCTACATAGTTGTGCAAAGGTACTTCCAAACCAATTTTATCTAATTTGCCATCCATAATTTTAGAAGGTTGTATGACTGGTTGTTGTGAGCAACCACTATTCTGAATCAGATAAACAAACCCAACTGTTACAAACAGGATATCTCGTAAGATGCATAGGACTTCACAAATAGGTGC